CTCCCCTCGATCGCGTCGCCGGTTTTTTGGATTTCTTCGAAGTGGCACGCTCGGGAAGACGTCGATGGATTTTGAATACGTACTGGATGATATAGAGTGGTTCACTAAATCGATGCGATTGAAGATAGGCTCTCTTTTTTTTTAATCGATACGATAAATGATTTGTGACGTTGAATTTAGAAAATTGACTTTTGCTTTGTCGATCATTCATCGAAGAATCTTCCATGTTTTTATATAAAGAAGATTTCTAAAAGAAAAGATAAACTTTTTTATATTACGTTAAAATTAAATTCAAGTCTTTTTATCTTCTTTCCAAAAATTGAATAACTCTTCTTCATTGTAATGCATCATTATATTTCTTCAATCCTTCGTCAATCAGATAAAAAAAAAATTATTTCAACAAAACTTATCATGATATCTGCATCGAAATCCTAAATATCATTGATAGCATCGTACTATTCGCGAATGATCGGAAAATCTGTCTATCGTTAAGGAGGAAGAGGGCGAGTTAGAATGAAACGATTCGTGAAAGGGGGAGTGACAAAGAGAAGGAGTAGGGAGGGAGTCGATGAGAGAGAGAAAGAGAGAGAAAGGAGATCACGGAGCTCGTGTTTCCGGCCGGGTGAACAACAATGCCCGCAGACAAATGAGCATCCCGCCTCCATTGTTCGCTTCATCGGCACGGCGCAGCCTCTCTCTCCCCTGTTACCCACCCTGGTTCCGCTTACGCCCCCCTATCCTTCCCCCATTCTTGTTTCTCCTTGTCCCTCCCTTTACCCCGTAATCGAAAGCCCACGTCCTCGTCCTCGTCGTCCTCGTCCTCGTCCTGGTTCTCGTCCTCCATCGTCATCATCATCGTCGTCGTCGTCGTCCAACAGCCAGGCTGGGGGGTCCTCGATCAACCTGATGCGGGCCAACACCGATTAAACATCTCTGCTTCGTCGAATCTCCGTCAACGTGGGCCCCCTCCATGAGTCTCTCCTCACGAAGAGGTAGGGTTCCCCACGGTGCCACTCTCTTTTGTCCCCAGAGCGCGAGTTCTACCGTGGTTCTCCTCTATTTTTACGCTCATTGTCTCTTCGTGTGCGCTCAATGAAAATAATGCACGCCAATGTCTGGATGGTAAAATACCTCGTCGATAACTTCCATTTTTTGATCTCTTTCCGTTTATTATATTATCTTTTGTTGTTTGTTGAGCCAATGCTTTTTTTCGTCTTATCTATCTTTTCTTCTTATTTTGTTTCCGTCATTTTTCCTTATTTAAATTATTTCATTTTATTATGCTTTGTATTTATTTTATTTCAGTACTTTTCATAAGGTTTTTGTTTTGTAGTTTGCATTTAAAATTAATCAAGATTAATTTCTTAATAATCCTATTGTTATTAATATTTTATTCATTAATAATTTATTTAGTACTATAAATTTTATTCAGCTTTATCTCTCTCAAAAAAAAAATGATTTAGTTATGATTGCCTTGTATTCTGTTTTTATTACTCTAAAATATCTTCTATTTTCGATCATTATAATATTTTTAATTTAATTTAGAAAGAGTAAAAATAATCTTTTAATTTTTATAATTCTTCATTTCTAATTATTTCAATATAATTATTTTAATATAATATTAACTTATTTAAAATAAAAAAGTATAAATTTTTGGAGTAAATAAATTTATATAAAAATAATATAATTTATTATATTATTTATTTATATAATTTATTATAATAATAAATGAGAATAAATAAAAAAAAAAGATTGATAAAAGGCAAGAAACAGTAGAAAGAGAAAAAAATTGCTATTCATTATACAGATATATATAATGATCAAATTATTTCATTACAAAATTAATTGACTTGTAACTTCTATTATTAGTTAAGTAAAATGGAGAGATCGCTGTTATTCGATCGAATAAACTACGTTATTATTGCATGTTTATTAGACTGACTATACTGGATCGAACAATGCTATTTTATGCAAAAACATAATACACAAATCGTATCATATATAAATGTAAATTAATTATGATTGTATTTTGATTATTATGTGAACATTACGATACAGTTCGAATAACAATATGAAAATGAAAATGCCGCAACGAGATTCTCTTAATTTTGGTTATAATTTCATTTTGGATGTAACGGTATACAGTATACAGAAACCTTATTTAAACAAGTAAAATAAATCTGCCGATAAAAATAACATTTGCTATTCACTGTTAACACATTATTTTCAAAAATAGTTACGCATATGCTACTTCATTATTTTTTTAAAGTTTGCGAATATAAAACTTTATTATTTTTAATTATCAGTATATTTACTCATTTAATTTTTTACTCTTTTAATTTTTTTTAATATTTACTAATTATGATACATTTAGAAAAAAAATCATACATTTATTTTATGCGTTATATCTCCCTTTTTCATTTCTAATCTTAAATTCTTTTTATTTTTTTAAAATAATTCAAATAAATACGTATAAAAATCCATAATTAATTTAAATAACATTGAAATGGCTAATTAAATAAATATTGTTCATATAATTTGTGCATTATTATATAACGTGATTATAACGCATATGAAAAATTCTTTCATTTATGTTTATCAATCTGACAGTGAACGGTCATCCAGTATGAATTTTTGGATTCATGACTGACAATAAGAAGGTAACGCGAGAGACTCGAAGGGCCAGATGTGCAAGGATTCAACATCCTCGAGCCCATTCATGGCTCCCGTAGCAGAACACCTTACTCGAACCACGTCGACCTCCTGCACCACAGAAATTCGATACTGCTCGGAACCTCGGCCAGTGTATAATATCTTGCTTATATATTATACTTATATATATATATATATATATTTATTTTATCTTGTTCTAATTTCTAATTCTATCGAATAGTTAAACATGAACAAAGTTTACTTTATATCGAATATATTATTGATAATTTCAACTAAATTCTCTGTAATTTATGTATTCATAGATATTGTTTGTGACAATCTAATCAATTTAGATTATTAAGAAAAATATTGTTTCTTTATTATATATTTATATATTTTATATATTTGAAAATTTAATTTTCTTCTTATTAAAATATCAATATTACAATATTACAAATATTACAAAAATAATGACTCTAATGATTAATGAAATTATAATTGTAAATTAATATGTTGAATGATTAATTTGAAAAATTTCTTCAATATTAATTTTGAATTTTTTATTTGTCATTATTTGATTTATTATCAAAAGCTTTCATATCATTTAATAATTCATCATATGATTCTTCCACTATATCACACATTTCTGGACTTCTATTTGAAAAAAATAAGGTAATAATCTTTGATCTATAATCAGTCCTTCAGCATTTATACTTACGTGTATTTAGCATGGTCATAACAAAATTTACATCGTTCACCTGCTGCAAGTGCTATTTTGTCTAATCTATGTTCCTTAAATAATTTTAATTGATTGTACCATTTTCTTTCCTGTTCCCTTGAATTTTCATGTTCTTCTTTTATTGACAACTCTTTATCTGTAAATTTTTATATTATAAAATTTTGTCATATTATATATTTATGTTTGGTTTTTATATATATAGAAAAATTGAAATAATTATATGAATATAATGAATATAATTTGTACTTCCCTTCATATTTAATTCATTATATTCTTAATATCTTAATATCTTATTATTTATATCTTATAAATTATGAAAGAATGATGAAATTATAATTTATGAAAGAAATGAAATATGATTATTTTACCTAATATTATTTTAAAAGGTTCAAAAGGTTTTGTTTCTTCTATAAATTTCCAAAAATCTTTCACTTTTTTTTTTT